GTGCTTTGAGCCTCTACCAGAACACAGAATAACAAAATCAAGTATAGCAGGAAGGAACAAAGGTCATTTCGAGACTATATTCTGAAAACAAAAAACAGATTTTTTTTTTAATCATCATAATACACATGTTTACAGCAAAATGAATATGGGATAACACACACACATCCCCTCTATTTTGATGAAATTTATTTTCTTGTTAAAGTTATGTTAAGCAGTACCTACACTGCAATGTCTATTGGAAAAGAGATAAAAATAATTTTAAAAAACAGTGAATGGGAGGAACAACAGAAATGGTCATACTGAAAAAAATAGAAAATAAAGCACGGTGAATTCTCCTTTTCATTCAAAAATCATGTTCTGATTACCAGTACAGAATAAAAAGTCATGCTATAGATAAAAGATTTTTAGTATTTCATTAAATCTGCAACAGGTACAGGAGATCAAGTTTTATGCACAGATAGAAGCATTTGACACTGGGACAGCAAAGAGCTATTACCTATGTAATAACCTCATATATATAAATATGAAGGTCCATTTTGCATAGGGTCAAGAAGTACATTAATGGGTCATTTCCTTTAAATTTGTGCCATCATCAGAAACATTTCAGAAGACACGTAGTTGCCATTTTTCATACTTTTGTTTTATTGTCTTTACGCAAAGTTTAAGATACATTTATACTGTCATTCTTACCTTCAAATGTGAGAACAGAAGGTTATAGTTTAAATGGGCAAGCTACGAAACCATCAGATTTTATAACAGACAGAATTTGCTAAATGTTGCTTCCTCAGACATTAAAAGTTATTATAAATTAACAGATCTAAAGCAACAACACTCAGGAAATAACACATCAGCTATCCTGGCAGGCTTAGGAGATTTGCTGGATCCATTGACTGCAGAGCAGTTTCATAAAGATGAAGGTCTGAAGAGATCATTACATTATCTATGTTGATCTTCTGTTTCTCACAGAACATCTGTAACATTTTATCGCTCGGCCTATAATAAGCCTAGTAATTAGGCTACAGTGTTCTAATACAGAAAAAAAACTAAGCTGCTCCATATGCAGCAGATCACCACAAAGGCCAAGTCATATGCAACAGTGGGGAACCAATTATTAGAAAGATTAAACTTCATGATCCCACCGAGCAATTTATACACTGTTATTGCATATTAATTCCTCTGCAGCACTCTCATGATCAATTTGATTTTAAGCACCTGAATGAAGCCTACCAACCAAACATCTATGAAAGACAGTTTCCTGTATCACTTCAGCCTGCTACAAACATGATTTGAACACTGTAAAACATATACAACTTGGAACTAAATAAATTGGATTTAAATATTTTAAAGTCAAAGATAAAATAATGGCAGTTTACATTGTTTTAAAGTATCCCATATAGAGGAAGAAGACGTCAAGACTTCTAATTGGGAGGGAGAATATTTAAAAGTTGAAAAATAGCAATGTGATGTTTCCATTCTAAACTGAAAAGAAGAATTCAGATGAATTCCTACTAAAAAATACAAGTGGCTATTAGAAAAACTAAACCAAGAAAGGAGTTCCTTACACTTCACTCAGGTTTGGCTTTCTTTAAAGGCAAGACCAAATGTCCAAAAGATACAAAATACAATAACACTCACTTAGGTAACATGAAAGACTTTGGGGACATTTTAACCCTTGATACTAAAATCTGCTAGCAATACAAGAAAAAAAAAAAAAAGATGGAGAGCAGGAATACTGCATCAGTGCAAACAACGACATCCTCAAAAAAGCTTACACGGAAACACTGTACTTGTAGCACGGCATTAGAAACTTGTTTCATGAACTACATAACCTCCGCCGTCTTTGTGCACTCTGATGTACTTCTCTGCCAGCCTATGTCGGAAAGTACTTCACTGTTTCAGGATCCTTCTGCTTTCCAACTCACCAAGACTACCTGCTCTTGGTTGTTTTGGCTGAAGTCCCAGGGAAATAACAACACCCTTGAGCTGAGCCTCACAGAGTTCAAGAAGAAGCAGGTGCTCAAGGGAATCTTCAACTTGGGTCTCTAGCACAGCCTCTGATAGTGCACGACTTTTTTCTCCAAATGGGAAAACGGAGTTGAGATACAGAAAGCTTGAATGAAGAGCAAGAAAGCAATTTGTTCTGAGACAAGAACTTATCTGTGTTCTTGGTATTTCACTAATGCTGTCAAAGCGTCCCTGAACTTAGGTTGATCACATCCTAACAGGACTTGCTTAGCTTTCTACTTCATATTACCCAGGGTGCCTCATGGAAGCTTTCCTGATCAAATGCAGAGCTCTGATTTTACTTCCAAACTTACAGAAGTAAAGGAATCCACATTTTAAAAAAACAACTCCACTCCCCCCCAAAAAAAAACCCAACACTGAACACCTGTACAACTATATTTTACTACTACAGGTCATGTTTACCAAAAACTTGAACTTGAAAGAAGCCTTTGAAGAAGACCCACAAAATGAAGTGGTATTAGAGAAGATAGCATTTATGTTCTTCTCATTTACCCCACAAAATGAAGTGGTATTAGAGAAGATAGGTAATTGAGAAGAACATAAATGCTAACAGATTGGTGGTCAAAGGATGATAAAGGAAACCTTACCAATATCATCATTATTTCACTACTGTCTTCATGATTTGTGAACCAAGTCCTAGAAACCTTGTTTTCCTTACAAATCAAAAAAAAATGTTTTGTTCTGCATTGAATTAAATATTAAGTATTTAGTGCCAAGTAAAAGGATTTTTTTTTATTTTTCATGTCAGCTAAAAAACTCTTAAGACCTCTTGGTTCAATGAAAACCAAGCCTTCCCTCCTTCCCAACTTCTTGGCACTGAAACAAAGGTATTAAAAAAAAAAAAAACAACAAACCACACCATACATGGACCATACACTTTTAATTTTAAAATAAAACTCACTACATTTCTCGTAAGTCATAAGTCTTTTTTTATGTTCTGTTCTGACTTTTGAAATGCTAAAATCTCTTGCCTAACACAGACATGTTTGACAGTCTCTCAAGCTAGCAACTCCTTTTCTTCTTACATTCACGTTTCTTTTGTCTTCTCTCCTCTTTCTTCACTCTTCTGCTTCTAACTCCCTGTTAGGTTAGCATGATTTGGTTTTCACCCCCTTTTTTACAACAAGGCTGCTTTTAATAAAAAGGAGCCAGTGTCCTACTAATGACAGACTCTTAGGGCATCTTTTTCATTTTCAAACTTCCAATTTTTTTTTTTGTCCCTTCCACAACTTACTACTTCCTTTTCATAGACACTCCTCTCATTCATCTTCTGTTTAGTTTCAAGAGCTACACACTCTCCTGAAGTACCTCTTACATTCTTAATCTTCTTTCCTTTCCTACTTTCCACATGCTGCTTTTTCAGCTTGCATTTTTTTAAGCTTGCATTTTTGGGTCATTACTTCTTTTCCCACTATATTCTACTTCTAGATCATTTAATCATCACTAATAAAACCAAGTATTTAAAGCTATTCTCATAGCTTTAAATAATTCACTGTCCCTTTCTGCTCGTTCTGGAGTCTCAAAAGAAAAGAAAAAAAAAAAATCAAAAACAAACCCGCTTAGTTGTTCTTACCTTTTTTCATCACAATTCTCTCATTCAACCCCACCTGTGAGCACTTATTGTGGAGCACATACTTTGCAATTTACAAATTTGGCCCAAAGCCACATCTAATTGATTTAATGCGTTGTATTGAGAACTTCACAACCCGAGCAGAATGCACATGGCTATTCCTTGCCTTCCCATAAACGCTTTAATTTTCAAAACAGCCCACACTAAGTCACAACTGCTATGACAAAAGATGTTTTTAACTACATCACTCTGTCAACATACATTTGGGTTTTTCTGTTTGAACACACTGAGGATATACACTCCCTTTTGCTCATTGGTGTCTCATTCTTTCTTATACCATGACATTGCAAAATAAAGACTCCGTATACTTTGGCCAACCGTCATTTTAAACATTTAAAGTGTTTAGAGCACATCGCATTTGTTTACAGTAGGTAACAATATTACCTGTCATTTTAATCATTATGCCTTAAAAGAAACTGAATATTCATTCTAACAAACTCAGTTTAAAACCCCACCCTAACATTTGTGATACTTAGTTTGTAACTATTAAAACACAAAGAACACTCTAAACAATATGCTGGGAATGCAATGTGGCTGAGAGCTCAAACTGTATCCATAGTCAATTTTGGAAAATCTAATTTATTTATTATTTTAAAATAATTTTCTGATAATTTGGACTGGTCCAAAGATCACTCATTTGGAAAAGAAAAAAAAAAAAGGAGGAAATCAAAGGTATAAATCAAAGGTACTACAGTTTAAAGGAAGATCTCTTGCTTTTTAATTGAGTTTGTTCCATTTTACACTTTTAAACCTTAAGAAAATAGATTAATAGTTTCTTCATTTATCTTGATAATCCTACGCAGAGTCTTAAAATATCTAAGATTGTTCTGTTTGTTTTATTGGTTTCCTTCTATTTGTCTGCACATTGAACCTTGTTACAAACTAGACAATAGCTTTTTTTAGGATGCTGGGTTTTTTGTTTGTGTTTAACTGTGTCTGGATAACACCAAATCTAAATAAGGTATGGCCTTAATCTCTGACTCAATTCTGCATTACAGCTAACAATAGAAGAGCAACTATGCTACCCTTAATAACCCTACTTACAAAATGATGCATAGAATTAACTAAAAAAGAAACTAAACACAATATGAAACATTGATTTAAGGGAAGATACACAAATCAAAAAGGCCCAAAGACAATCAGAGTACACCAGCCATACACAACTCAGTATCACGTTAACTTGGCAACGAGGCTTTAGCAGACCTGAAACAGTCCGCGCATAACTTGCTTGCCCCAGCCATAAACGACACACCTAAATTTGAAATAAAGATTATAGTTCTCAGCAAGATGGCATATCGCTGTTACAAGAAGTTGATCTATGAAGTCATTTTCTTAGAATACTTACCACTAAATCCCAGTTATTTTGTTCAAGCAACGTTATAGCTTCATCAATATTTTCAATACCAGTACATGCCTAAAAAGAAAAAGAAGCAGTAAATAGAATTAAAAACATTGATCAAAATCAGAGTATTAATACTTACAATTTAATTAATTTCAGCAGAATGACAGCAAAGGTATAAGTCTTTCATTTCTGTTAGGAGAGGGTAATCCAGTAATGAGATTTCAGGTTTTAAACATCAAACACTTGGACATAATTCCCTGTTCCAACTCAGAATTCTTGTATAACCTTGAGCAAACCACCTAGGGAAGCAAGACAAAGTAGTTATTTGTAAAATTAGGACAATAGTGCTGTCCCATAAAGGTGTTTTGAGAATTCTACGTTCAAAATTATGAAACACACTACTTTAAAAGGGAGCACAAAAATACTCAATACTTAAAATGATGCTTGAGATGGCTGAAATATTTTGTCTAAAGCCAGAAACACAAATATAAACTCTATTGCCTCCAACATCATCTCGTACCCCTACTCACTCTGGGTGTTACATAGCACAGTGTAAGAGCAAAAGAAGACAGCAAGTATGAATTTTTGATCAAAGTGCCAGCTTACTACTGCATGTACAAATGAGCACCCCCTGTGAAACTATTTAAAATTAAGACTACATAATAAAACATTTGCAATGTTTTCCTTTCAGATATAATGCTTGCATGTTGTTCTAGCCCCATACTCTGGCTTTATCCTTCTTCAAGAAATCTAACACAAAAAGTATTGGTACCATCTCACAAAATGGTATTGTAAATTGAGCTCAATTCCAAGTACAAGAGAGCATCTCTACTCAGCAAAGACCTTGATCCAGCAGGCTACTTTCTTTTTTTGATACCCATGCCTTTTCAAATATTCAACTTCAGCAGGCAGAGCACTGCTATTCATTCTGCCACGTATTTGCTACCATTCACATTGAAGGATAACAGACATATTTCACCAGAGGCGAAAAATGGAAACAGTGAAGTTTCTTTCTGGAATTTATCTTTCATCCTAATCAAAGCTACACACTGTATTCAAGCACACAACATGAATCTAGACTTTTACAAGATCTGAAACATGATCATGTTCCTTCTGCTCCAACACACGGTTATACAAAAAGTTTATAAAAAGTTGATACAAAACTACATTTTAAAAATCCAACCTCTTAACAGTAATCAAACAGAATTAGCAGCAGCAAATAGATCAGTTTTTCTGATTCCAAAGATATATAGTCCTATATAGTCCTGTTTTATCTTTAAGCAATAAGAGAAAAAGGGGGCTAGGCACAGAAACAGACACCTTTTTTCTCCCAAGACGTAAAAAGATATCAGGTCATACATTTTCCATGCTCTGACTTTTCTCCCAATTTACAGTGAATGTAACAAATAAAAAGTAGAAAAGAAATCACAGAGAAATTCAAGGCCAATTCTCTCTTCCCAAATTCAAGAATTCCGAAGAATTCCACACTTACAAAGCATTACATGCAGTATGTCTACAGAAAATACACCAGTCTGGAGGACCATGAGGATCACAAGATGACATTTTAGAGCTTTTTTTGCCTGCAGAGGGGAGGCAGCAGTTTCTATCGATCCACAATGCTCTCATGGCCAGATTGATTCTCTCTGGAACAAGATAAAGTTTCTTCCATTGCTCGCAGCATGCTGTGTTAAAACTGAATTTCACCCACTCTGCATCTGGAGCGCTAAAAGATTTTTAAAAATACAGTTTTGCTCTTCAGAAGCATCATTTTGCCTTCTCTTCCATTACTTCTTGCAGTTACTTCTGAAGTTAAAAACGAGACAACACTTTAACACATTCCCTAGCAAAAGCGAAAGTTATATACGCTTATGCCAAGTAAGCTTGAGGAGCACAGGGCTTGAGCTTGTCTTTTCTGAAATCACAGGATGGTCCATACTACCATAAATCTGCCACCAAAATTGATGTCGACAGCTCTGCTGCAAAGTAATCTTACTTTGAGAAAGAGTTTTGCAGAAGTGACTGTCTGAGATTCTGTTTACACTTAAGTGAAATACACTTAAAAATCTGGTCATTACAGAAAAAAGGAGTTACTGCTTCTCATTTATCAGCCCTGCAAACTCTGCATGACCTTTCAAAGAACTAAGTTGTGTTCCAACCTACAATACAAATCTGACCAACAATGTTTTGTTTTCAACCCTGGGCTGTGCAGATGAGGCTGAGGAGAGGGTACCTCAAATTCAGGGCTCAAATACCAGTTTTAGTTGCTCCATCTTCCGTATCACCCCCGCAGCTCAGCTGACTTGTTGCTTACTGAACCTGCTGGTTTCCTGTGTGCAACTAAGAGTGTCCACATGCACACTCTTAGCCCCTACTAATGATAAATCAATTCAGCTCACTTAAGTATACTTTTATTTTGAGAGAAACTAAATAAAATTAGCTTACCCTTCCACCAGAGCACACAGTGAAAAGAGTTACCTCATCACAGTGGAGGTAGAGTAATTAAGCAACTAATTCACTTGCATGTCTGCATCCTTCTGAAATCATCTTGTTGGTGATTTACAACTAAAATAGATCCCCACTCGTTCCCTCATATTTAGACTCATAGAATGGTTTGGGTTGGAAAGGACCTTAAAGATCACCTAGTTCCAAACCCCTTGCCATGGGGTAACAGGAAGAGACAGGTATAAACAGTAACTAAAAATTTAAAAACCATCAGAATTCTTAATAGCCAAAGAAAGCAGTTTTGTTGAAAACCTTTGGACTGTTTCTACAGTCACTTTTAACATTTGATTTTGAGGATTTCTAAAACTACGATTTCACTTTCCAGATGGACTATTTTTGCTAGTTGTCAATAAAACAGAAAACAAACATTCCTGAATGACAACAATGAATGAAAGAGTGCTACTTAACATCCTGTTAATGTCGCAGTTGCAGAAAACTAATGTTTTTCAGAATAATATTTCAACACGAAGGAGGAGAATTGATTCAGACACCACACACTGCCATATACAAATCCCTGCCTCAAGTCATGATCCATCACTGGTCTAAACATCAGCAAGACCAAAAGAAAACAAAACAAAACCAAAAACCCACACTTAAAAAGTCTGTTTCCTTTTAACTGCATCATACCATGCAAGACGAACTCAAGAAAACCATCTGGTTTGCACCTTTTTAATATTCCCTAAGAAAGCAGGCACACAAGACAGGCAGCCATCCCTCGCTGGCAAGCGGGATGCAACGTTAAAGACTTCTGGAGCAGCAGATTAGTCCCAGAACAACCTGGACTGCTTCTGCCTTCGTTTTCCACAGGGAAAAACACACAGGAAACCAGCAGGTTCTGTAAGCAACAAAACTAACAAAGTCTGGTTCCTCACGGGTTTGCCTCCCATGCCTAATTGCAAGGGCTCATTTAAGTTTTTCCTGTGGCTGTAATATTTATGAGGGCTTCTTTTGATAGACTTTGTTCCATGTTACCTGGCTGTATTTTCATCAAATGTGAAGGAATTTAATTGGTATGAGTCCAGGGGTTCAAAAGTTCAACACTGGGAACATTTGGGTACCATAAGCCGATATGTCTCACTGTTTTAGGAAGGCAGAGTAAAAGTCACAGGCTTTACTTATTTACCATACATAAAGATCTTTTGCTCATTTTTATGTCTTTCATTCTACCTAAGCAAGAAACAAAACCACAATTGAATAGGAAAAAAAAACCCAACATGTTAAATTTGAGCAGAAACAGAAGAAAAAAAAAAAAAATCTTCAAAATACAGCAAAGCAGATGAGCTCCAAAGGCACGAAAACACACTTGTCACTAAGCAAGTAAAGTGATACTAGTTGAGGAGAATTATTTTTTTTATTAACATATTTTATTCAGCTTTTTTTCCGTGAGAGACCTACTTAATAGAAGACATTAAATATTTTAGAAGAAAATTCCTACCAGAATGCTACTAACTCTTGATGCAATCAACAACCAGCACATCCTCTAAGTCACCAAAGTGAAAGAAACAAACCACCACAGTAAAGGTAAAACCTTCAAGGCTCACTGATTTGTAAACCTTTACACATCAAAAAGATACCAAATAATTTTTTTTTTTGAAGGACAAAGGGGAAGAAAATGTAGAACAAGTTCCTTCCTCCTCCTCCTACTCTCTGCATTTCCTGTAAATCTAGGATAGCATTTTGCCCTTCACAGCAGTTCCAGCTCCAGAGACTGTGAAGTCTCTTCTGTGGTTTTTTTCAGACCACACAAGAGGAAAATGAATGTGAAGGTAAGAAAACTATTGCTGTGCACTGAATGCATAAAATCAGATTCTGAAGCTAAAGTTATTGAATGTTAAAACAATTTTCTTAGCATCCTGCTTTCCCGGGCCAGGTAAGTGTTTCCACCAGGCAGACTTAGATTTGTATATAATAAAATTTCAGAGGGCTTCTCCAAACTTTTTTCAGGTAGCTTCACAAATTAACCATCACCTTAACGATGGAGAGGTTACTCTTGGGAAGATTCGCAGCTAACCATTAGGGGTCCTATTTATCTGGCACAGAACCTTCATCAGTGTTACATAAAAGAAGTGAAGTAGCCACTGAGGAAACAATTCAGTAGGAAAAAAGTCGGAGGGCAGACAGACTTCAAGGCATTCAAGACAAACCCAGGAGGGGCTTCCAGAAAGCTATAATGCAGGATGACAGACTTGCTCTTCTAAATCCCTGGCAGGGTGGTCTGACCCCGGCAGCTGTAACAGCTGGATCTGGGTTTTGAGACCCTCTGTGACCCCCCACCTCAACAGCTCAGGCCTTAGCCTACCTCCACATCACAGGAAAGCAGCTGACTTTCCCATCTGGCAGCAGCTGCTGTTGAAAATGCTCCTCCAGCACCTGCTGCATAGATCCAGGCAGTTGTTGCACAGCGAAGCTGGAAGAGACAACTGCTGCTCCCAACACAGAGAGCCGGGCTGTTACTTCTGCAAAAGCTGGGAAAGCAACAAACAGCTGTTGCTGACTCGCATACAGAGTCAGGCTACTGTTGCCCCGACAGATAGTGGGTGGCAGTTGTTGGACAGAAGCTGGGAGCAAAT